ACTTAATAGAGAGATTTTATTATTTTAGCTATGTTTTAGGTATGATTATTTCATGGTTTCAGTTTTAGTTTAATAACTCTGGTCCAAATTATTTTTGGGGACACTAGATCTAAATCAAGCAACTTTTTAATCAAACGTTTATTTTAGACTCTCTCTCCAATTTCAGACCAGGTCAAATCTGACTCAGCATAATAATTGGTGCATTAAACAACTATATGTTTTTGTTTATTCATCGTTGGCATCAGTGAAACCTTGTAAACACTGATGCCTTTTAGAGGTCGTAATCAAAAACGGTAGCTTTTTCCACAAAGGTTATGTACTTAGGTCTCAGAGGACATACAGTATATTTGCATCTGTGTACGTGTGTGTGTGTGTGTGTGTGTGTGTGTGTGTGTGTGAGAGAGAGAAAACAAACAGCGGCTGTCGCACCATCCCGTATCAGTTGGAGCAGATTGTTTGGAGCGTGTCCAGCAGCTAATTTTCCTATTAAATCACATTTACTACCTCAGCAATGCCTTTACTTTATAAAAATACCTCAACAATATTCAACAATATAATTTAGGGGGAAGTCATGGCCTAATGGTTAGAGAGTCGGACTCGTAACCCAAAGGTTGCGGGATGGCTGCCCACTGCTCCGGGTGTGTGTTCACGGTGTGTGTGTTCACTGCTGTGTGTGTGTGCACTAAGCATGCACAGAGCACTAATTCCTAGTATGGGTCACCATACTTGGCCACATGTCACTTCACTTTCACTTCAGAAACATGCTTGTAAGGTGAGCTTGTGCTATATTCCTTTATAATAAATGCTACTTGGTATTATATTTTGTAATCTAATTCAATCAAATGGTTTTTAAGCATGGCTTCAGTGACGAATACTTTCTTTTCTTTTTTTTCTTTTTTTTTAGAGTCGCTGTAGTGTTGAATCACTTGCGCTTCGGTCAATGGCGGCCCCTAGTGGACACGCGTGTAAACTACAACAACACAGCACACACTGACCAACAGATGTCAGCAGCGGCTCGTTCACGCTCAGGGTGGCATTTCACAAATTTAATTCCCCAACTCCATTAGAAGCGATCAAACTCCATTAAGCACGACCTCCAGTGAAGCATGTAAAATAAATGGGTATTTGTTTCTACGGCAATTCTAATTTCCTTTCCTCTAATGTAACAACTCCTCCAGATATAATAATAATATTGAGGTCTGTCTACCCCAAAACATACCTAACCAGCATATGCTGGTTTTTTCAACAGGGTAAAACTTACTACGTCCGTCAGTTAGACTTTCTGCACACAGTCAATCGTAAATGTGACTGGAAGAGTTCACCCAAAAATGAAAATGTCATCATTTACTCACCGTCATGTGCTTTGGAGCATGCTAGCTCGTTTATGCTAGTCATTAGCATTCTGCGGAGAATAAATAATGCTGTTTTGCGCTGTTCTTTTCCATACAGTGAAATTGTTGAGCTGCAAAATTACTGGAAATGAAGGCAAACCTGACGTTTGAAATCTAAGTGAATAATGACTTACATTTTGCCTGTTCCTCACACCAAGACTTTAGAAGACTTGAATCACACCTCATATTTCATACAGATTACTTTATTGCCCTATTCATTTTAATTGTGGCAGAGTTTAGATATTCTATAAAAACAATTGGAAATTATATGGTTTCGAAACGTAAGGGTGAGAAAATTACAAAATGTAATGTTTTTTTTTTTTGTGAACTATTCCAATAAATTCGTTATCATTTACTCGCCCTCATGTCTCTCATCCAGAAATGCTAAAGGAGATAGTTTGAAGATGGTTCACACTGATTTCATCAATACAATTGAAACATACAGTGACCAGGGCCTGTCAAGTTGCAGAAAGGGACAAAAAGCACCATCAGAGATAACAAAGAACATTCGCAGTACTTTGACTAACAATTTTCTCTTAAAGCTGTGAACAAATGTTTTTAGTTGGATGTTTGTCTTTTATTAAATGTTACTACTTTCAGAACATTCAGAGAACATTCAAAAGTAACGTTCCCATAATGTTTTTTTCTAACATTCTCTCAATGTTACGCCACTTTAATTGAACGATCTTCAAAGTTCTCTGGACTTTAATAACATTCTCAAAATATCAGCACAAAAACATATTTTATACATGTTTTAGTTGGATGTTCATAACTTAAATGTTACTACTTACTACTTATTTTGGAATGTTCAGAGAACATTCAAAAGTAACATTCCCCTAATGATAAAATGTAATGCTACTTAACATTTCTGTAATGTTAATAGAATGGTCATTCAAAGTTGTCTGGTGAATGAACATGAACATTCTCAAAATGTCAGCACAAAAATATACATCGTTCATGTAAATTGAAATGTTTTAGTTTGACATTCGTCTAACTTTTTTTAAACGTTACTATTACGTATCAGAACCTTAAGAGAACATTTAAAAGTAACGTTCCCTTAATGTTTTGTCTAAAATTCTCTCAACATTACGGAAAGTTAATAGAACATTTATTCAAAGTCGTCTTGCCTTTAATAACATTCTCAAAATTCCAGCACAAAAATGTTATTTATACACCGTTCATTGAAAGTGGAATGTTTTACACATTACTACTTACTGTTACCAAAATGTTCTGAGAACATTCAAAAATAGTGTTCCCATAATGATACAATGGAATGTTCTCCTAATGTTTCTGTAACATTTGTAAATGTTATTTTTGTTTTCTTTGCACTCAAAAAGTATTCTCGTAGCTTCACAAAACTGAAGTTGATCCACTGATGTCACATGGACTGTTTTACCGATGTCCTTACTACGTTTCTGGACCTGGGAACATTTCAGTTGCGTTGCTGTCTATGCAGGGTCTGAGAGCTCTCACATTTCATCAAAAATATCTTAATTTGTGTTCCGAAGATGAACGAAGGTCTTACAGGTTTGGAACAACATGAGGGTGAGTAATTAATGACAGAATTTTCTTTTTTGGGTGAACTATCCCTTTAATAACTAACATTACCAAAACGTTCTTAGAGCATATTTTTGTTAGATGGGATAAAAGTAGTCCATATGACTTGTAGCTTTGTGTGAGAAACATCAAAATGAATTCAAGACACAGATGAAACCAAACACTATTGGACATATCAATTTCAAATACACAGATTTGAAAAGATTTGAAGAGTATAATTGAGCTTTACAGCCATTAATTCATTTTTGGGTGACCTAAACCTTTAAGAATGGCCCTGTTTAAGAAGCAGGTAACATTTCCCTTCTGTGCTCCATCTATGTGTTTCTCTCTCTCCCCTCCATCATTCCTGTCTGTCCATTAGAGCGAGATGCTCCGGGTAGGAGGCTGACCTCCTTACCAACACTGATAGTCCCCTGAGAGACGCGTGCCCCATTTAGACATGCTGACTGAGGACTTTCACCATCTTCTCTCAAACTCCGGACTCTAAACTCAGCTCCTCCATTTCAGACTTCACATCAGACAGTCAGGATTTCAGAGGGATTTGATTCCATTCAACTTTTAAATCGTGTCCTGGCACAGCACGCTACTTGGATGAGTAATGAAGTGAAATGTCAGATTACAGGGAGACACAACAAAAAATATATTAGACTATTTACTTTGCTTATTAGATACAAGGTTATACAAATCACATTGTACTTCGATTTCAGGCCTCTGAAATGTCAAAAATAGGCCAAACGCAGCCACATGCTTCACAATACCCGACCAGTGAGGGAAAATATATTGAGTCACACACACACCTACGCAGCTGAAGACAGACTTCCAGACTAATGTTTGAATAGCAATCCTCCGTATGCCTGCACACACAGCTACTCTTACGTGATTTTTACAATCCCTTCAAAATGCAAAAAATAAATAGCAGCAGAGAAATCTATTGTTTGTCTTTTTAATTTGATGACAGTGTCACATACTGTACATTTTCTGAACAAATCCCTGTATTTAAACATTAAGGTTGCGTACATGCATCCTCTGAACAAATGCAACTGGGTTGAATGGGAATTCTAACAGATCGTTCTCAGAGCATTTCAGTGATATCTGTCAGATAATATGTGACCCTGGAGCACATAACCAGTCTTAAGTCGCTGGGGTATATTTGTAGCAAGAGCCAAAAATACATTGTATGGGTCAAAATGATAGATTTTTCTTTTATGCCAAAAATCATTAGGATATTAAGTAAAGATCATGTTCAATGAAGATATTTTGTAAATTTCCTACTGTAAATATATTAAAACAATTTTTGATTAGTAATATGTATTGCTAAGAACTTAATTTGGACAACTTTAAAGACGATTTTCTCAATATTTTGATTTTTTTGCACCCTCAGATTCCAGATTTTCAAATATTTCAAATATTGTCATATCCTAACAAACCATACATAAATGGAAAGCTTATTTATTCAGCTTTCATATGATGTATAAATCTCAATTTCGAAAAATTGACCCTTATGACTGGTTTTGTGGTCCAGGGTCACATATGGACCAAGAGTACCTTTAATTTTGTATACACTACAAGTAATATTTCAGTAAGATTTTTTAATGTTTTTAAATAAGTCTCTTATGTTCACCAAGGCTGCATTTATTTGATCAAAAATACAGTAAAAACAGCAATATTGTGAAATATTATAACAATTTAAAATAACTATTTTCTATTTGAATATATTTTAAAATAATGTGGCAAAGCTGAATTTTCAGCATCATTACTCCAGTCTTCAGTGTCACACGACCCTTCAGAAATCATTCTAATATGCTGATTTGCTGCTTAAGAAATATTTCTCATTATTATCAATGTTGAAAACAGTTTTTATTCTTCGGTCATATTCTTCTGAAAACTGTAATTGTCAGGATTACTTGGTGAATAGAAAGTTCAAAAGAACAGCATTTATTTAGAATAGAAAACTTTTGTAACATTATAAATGTCTTTACTGTTAATTTTGATCAATTTAATGTATCCTTGATGAATAGGAAATTTTACTGATCCCAAACATTTGAATGGCAGTATATGAATTTATTAAAACATTAAGAGCAGTCTTGAGCTAACTTATGAACTTGAAGACTTGGTGTCTTGAATGATCAAGCACTGCTAAGAAGACTTCTGAAGCCTCGTTGGCCATTTTGAGACCCTCAGCATGTCCACTGTACGTACTCTGGGTCCGTGGAGTCTGAGACAGACAGGAAGATCAGAGCAGGTCAAAGCAGAGGCGCTTCAGTCTGGAGCGGACACCTCGGTGCTGTAGCTCAAAGGGACGTCCAGTCTGATGACGGGTCCAACAACACTGAGCCAAGTCACGATATAGTTCACCCTCCTGAGAACAGATGAGATGATCAGAGCATCTACCCATATTGCAATGCTGCAAATTAAGAAATTATTATATCTAGTCATATTTAACTAACTAAATAGATAGATGGATATGCCAGATCTGATAATTAGACAATGGATGAAGACATCACTGAATCAACAATGAACTGACTTTAATTGATAAACTGACTGTTTTCTATTGTCCTCTTGCATTATCAGCACACATTTTTCTGTTTAATACTGTAAAGCTGCTTTGACACAATCTGTATTGTACAGAGTGTTATATAAATAAAGGTGACTTGACATTCATAGCTAAATAAGACAGATAATACACTATGAGATGATATAATACCGTTTTAAAATGTTAAAAGGATTATTTCTAGATAAAATAAAGCTTGTATTCAAAGTATGCTGTTGATTACCACAGAAAATATTGTTGATTCATTCCTCATTTTAAATGGAATCTATCAAGCAAGTATTGAGGAGGTTTTTTTTTTTTTTTAACTAAAACACTTAAATTGTAGTTAAAATATTTATCCGAGCTGTAAAAATCATATATAATTATCTTTTGGGTGGATGTTTCTTGGTGAATAAAATACCTGGATATAAGCTTGGTTTCCTGAGGCTATGAAAAAAAAGTTAATAAATAAATAAATAAATAAACTCATAAATAAATAAAAATTGTAGAATTTAATCAAAAATAAAAAAAAATTCAAAATACATCACAAAATCATTGTAATTTTTTGTTAAAAAGAGTGCTCACAAACACCCCCTATGTGCCCCCTATTATTAATTCTATATTACATTTAATTGTAAAACAATTTATAAAAATGAAATATAATTCATATATATATTATATGCTTTATACTGTAGACAGTTATGTCATGCCATGTATTTACTACCAACTGCAACCAAAACTAACCATGTTTACTTTTTTAGTTGGTCAAGATATAATAATATATTTCAAGTGGATGTATATTAGCACAGAAAATGTTAGTACGTGATTCTAGTAATGTTTAAATCATATATTTACAATTTCAAAGCAGTTGCATGGTACTTGCATATTTTAAACATTTATTCACTGTGCTGCTTGATTGCCTACTAGACTGCCATCGGAAGTGCATTATTGACGAATAAGTCAAAATATATATTTATTTATCATGGTAATCAACAACATGCAGATGTGTTGACCGAGCTCAAACAGTAGAGCATGACACAAGCAACACCAAGGTTATGGGTTTGATTCCCAAGTGAGCTTGTGTACCTTGAATGCAATGTACTGTAAGTGGCTTTGGAAAATAGCGTGAGATAAATGTAAATGTAAACATGCACTGAATCCAGGATATTAATTTCACATAATGCATGATGACTAAAGCTGCAGCAGGGAGAAACTCACTTGTTTTCAGCTTGTGCCAAATCCAGAGCAGGTTTCATAAACTCCTCAGTGCGACATGGATGAAGCATGAAAAATGGTTGGCCCAGTAAAGGATGATCCTACACACACATAC